AGCAGCCATTGATAATTGGTGCTTGTATCCATGATGTCATAGAGGTTGAAAAATGGCAATTTTTTTTTTACTCATGTAATATCGCTTCTGCATTGATTAGCTGAAAGTCTTCTATAAGAAACACAGTGAACATTCAGTATAATTTATTACAGCTTTTAAAATGATAACTCACAAAAAGAAGGGAAGATAAAATCCAGCCATTGAAACAATCTTAAACATAGTCAAGTCCAATTTTACTACTGTGTAAACTTAGGTTACTTGCCTTCTGTTAGCCTCAATTTCCTCATCTATAATTGGGAATACTACCATCTCCTTGCAGGAATGCCATGAAAATCAGATGAGGTGATATATTTAAAATACTTAGTAGAGTACCTAGTGGGTATTCCATATGTGTGTGTGTGTGTGTACACATACATACACATACTGTATTTATAGTTCATTTACCCAACAGTTGTTTATAGGAGACTTAACTGTGTGCAGACATGTGTCTGAGAATTTGGGAAAGACTTGTGAACAAAACAGACAAAAACACTTGCCCTCTTGGGGCAGGGTTGGGGAGACAGATAAACAGTAAACATAACAAGTAAATTATATAGGATAAGTACTAAAGGAAAAGAGACAAAGTAGAGCTGTGCAGGTGGGTAGCTATTGTATAAGGCATGCAAGATGCAGTATTAGAATGGTCCAGGTAGGCCTCCTTCAAAAGATACGGTTTGAACAAAAACACAAAGGAGGTGAAAGAGTTATCCATGGTGTCTGGGAAAGCCCATTCCAGGCAGAGGGAACTGCTAGAGCAAAGGCCTAAGGTCAGAGTGTGTCTAGCATGTTTAGAAAATAGCAAAATAGCAGAAATGATAGTAGAGAAGGTCAGAGAAGTAAGGAGGACAGACCATTTATGGCCCTGTTAAGGACATTTTAATGACTTTGGCTTTGACTCTAAATGAAATGGGAAACTTTTGCAGAAGAGTGACATAATCTGGCTTTCAATTAAGAAAATGTCCTGTGAAATGTAGCCAAGAAAATAAGATGAATTGATGAATGGAAAGAGCCAAAGATAAACATGTACTAAAGCAAATACGGCAAAATGTTAAGTGTAGAATCTAAGGGGTGGCTGTATATATATGGGTGATCACTATTTAATTTTTTCAACTTTTCCATGTGTTTAAAATTTTTTATAAGAAGAAATTTTAAGTGGGGCGCCTGGGAGGCTCAGTGGGTTAAAGCCTCTGCCTTAGACTCAGATCATGATCCCAGAGTCCTGGGATTGAGCCCTGCATCCAGCTCTCTGCTCAGCGGGGACCCTGCTTCCCTGCATCCCCCACGCCTGCCCCTCTGCCTACTTGTGATCTCTGTCAAATAAGTAAAATCTTAAAAAAAAAAAAAAAAGAAGAAGAAATTTTAAGCTATTAAGAAAAAATCTAAATCTAATCCTGGTAATAATATAATCTAACTGATATGTATTGTTTTATAGAATGAGTCTAACATGTCACTGAAGACTCTCCTTAGGAAATTCTACATGTAAAATCCCATTTTCTCACTAACCTTCATTACAGAGTGGAATGTAATTCTTTGGAAAGAATCTGATTAATAAAACCTAGAATAAAAGTAACTTAAGAATATGAAAACATTAAAATTACATATATATAATATATGATATAAAATAGAGTATATTTCTTATATATTCTGTATATATTATATAATAGAGTAACTGTCAATATATAGACAATTAGAAATAAAAGCATCAAAATTTATTCTGGCTTGTGTGTCTTAGAAATCTAAAGGTCTTGGGCCAAGGGAGGTGACAGTGGACATGATAAGAAGTAGTCTAATTCTGTGGCTAAATTTTGAAAGAGCCAACAGGATTTTCTGATGGATTAGAGGTAGAATAAGATAAAGAGAACTCTAGGATGACTCCAAGGTTAGCGGCTTGTGGTATGAGCAGCTTGCTGGAAAAATAGGTTTGCTCTAACAAAGCTTACGACTAAAATAAATGATTTGGTGGGGGATAGAGAATACACGTTTGGACAGTTTGGGACAGTTTGTGAGATGTCATTTAGACATCCAGAGGAGATGATGCGTAGACAGTTTGATAAACAAGGCTGGACTTAAGGAAACAAGATTAACTAGAGATATAAAGTTGGGAGTCACCTGCATGTATATTGTTTAAAGTCTTGGGATTGGATCCAATTTCCCAAGAAAATGAGTGTGCAAAGACAAGAGAACCAAACCCTGAGGCATTTCAACATTAAATGATTGGAGAAGGGAAACAACAAAGAATTGAGAACAACCAGTGAGAGAAAAGAAAAGCCGACAGTTGGGTGTTCTAGAAGCCATTTGAAGAAAACGTCTCAAGGGTATTTTGAGTGTGTGTCGAGTGTTACCAGTTATTAATTCTCCTCCCTACTCTCAAGTTGTTACCACTTGCTTTTGCTAAAATGTTAAATTAGAAGAGTTTTTAAATCATTCTGCCCAGATAATGACCACTTGTAAGAGTCTTTAAAGCTCATAAAGGTAAAATCCAAAGCCCTAACAGCACTTTTTAAAAATTTAAGTTTTGAAGGCAAACTCCTTCTCATCTTTATTTTTATATTCCTAGCATTTACCCTTACAGCGAGCATATAAGTGCTAAAATAGGAGACCTGGGACCGTCTTCGTTCATTTATAGTTAATGCTAAGCACACTAAGACTACATCAGCCCCTTAAGATGGTCTGTCTTCTAGCTGTGGGACAATACTGATACTGTGTTTTACAGGCTGTCAGATGGGTTGTCCTTTCAGAAGATTCCATAATACCGCTCTGGAAGAAGAAAGGTAGGATCTGAAGAGCTAAGGAAGAAAGCAGAATAACTCTGCAGCCCAGTAACAGCTCTGCTTTGTTGTTGCTGTTTTGCCTTTCCCTGCTTTCAGTTGTACAGGGCTAGGGGAGTTTTAGTGTTTTAACTCAAAATGCGAAACTGACTTTCTCCGTGTCCAAAGAATTTGAAACCTGGTAGGAATCTCCTGAAATCAAGGGTACTCTCCCCTTGTCTTAAGGAAGGTTAAATTTAAATTATAAAATTCACCCAAACTTGTAATGAGTCCTTAACTGTGTGCAGGGTAAGACATGAATTTGCCCTATTTTAAATATAGCAAAAGAGTTACCTTCACAAGAGTTCTGAATTCCACCTCTTCATTGCTCCCTGGGCTCCAGCCAGCCAGCCTTTGATCATCTGCAATGTGTTGTTTGAACAAAACCCTGAGGGTATTAAAGTACAAAGCATAGGAAGCTTCAAACTTAATAAAGGAGCCATAAATGTAAAAAAAAAAAAAAAAAAAGTTAAATGAATTAAGATTGTGGGTAGATTTGGATTTTAACTAATCATTTTGCACATTTCTAGGAGTACTATTCTTTGTAAAGTAACTTACGCCACTGTTGATGGGTAGGTTGTCATCCTTTCCATGGGTGCCATGGTGGCCTAGAGTGAGACACCCACCACCCCTCTCTTGTTTGGATTCAAAGGATGCTCCAGTAACACGTTTGAATAGACCCGAGACTATTTGGTCTTCACATTCTTCCTGGCCTGGCTATCATTTAAAACGTTTATCCTTGGGGCTGCTGGGTGGCGCAGTTGGCTAAGAGTCTGCCTTTGGGCTCAGGTCGTGATCTCAGGGTCCTGGGACCGAGCCCTACATTGGGCTCCCTGCTCAGCTGGGAGCCTGCTTCTCCCTCACCCTCTGTTGCTCCCCCTGCTTGTGTTCTCTTGCTCGTGCTGTCTTTCCCTTTCCAATAAATAAAATCTATAAAAAATAAGTTAAAATGTTTATTATATTTGAGAAGATACTTGCCAATGACATATCCAATAAAGGGTTATTTTCCAATATACAAAGAACTTATGCAACTGAACCCCCCCCCACCAAAATATCAGTTAAAAATAGGCAGAAAACAGACATTTCTCCAAAGACATACAGATGGTCAACAGATACATGAAAAGATTCTCAACATCTCTTGTCATCAGGAAAATGCAAATCAAAACTACAATGAGATGTCAGCTCATACCTATCAGAATGGCTAAAATCAACAACGCAAGAAACAACAGGTGTTGGCATGCATGTGGAGAGAAAAGAGCCCTGGTGCATTGTTGGTGGGAACACAAACCAGTATAGCCACTGTGGAAAACAGTATGGAGGTTCCTCAAAAAAAAAAAAGTATAACTGCCTTAGGATCCCATAATCTCACTACTGGGTATTTACTCCCAAAATACAAAAAGCCTAATTCAAAGGGATATGTGCACCCCTATGTTTATTGCAGCATTATTTACAACAGTCAATTTGTGGAAGTAACCCAAGTGTCCACTGATAGATGAATAGATAAAGAATATGTGGTATGTAGATACACAATAGAGTATCAAGAGGAATGAACTCTTGCCATTTGCAGCAACTGTGGATGGATCTAGAGAGTATAATGCTAAACAAAACAAATCAGTTGGAGAAAGACAAATGCCAGATGATTTCACTCATCTGCGGAATTTAAGAAACAAAACAGACGAACAAAGGGAAAAACCAGACTCTTAACTGTAGAAAACAAATACTGGAGAGGGTGATTGGGATCGGTGAAGAGGGATTAAGAGTGCATTTATCAGGATGAGCACTGAGTACTGTATAGAATTGTTGAGTCACTATATTGTACACCTGAAACTAACAGAACACTACGTTAACTACATTGGAATTAAAAACTTAATTTTAAAAGTGTTTATCCTTATTTTTCTTTTATAATACTGATTATAGAGACAGTTTATCTCTGTTGACTTTGAATAGTGAATTCTTTAATTTTGGCCATTTGTTGTTTTTTTTTTTTTTTATTTTGTGAGGGCTGGAATTTTTACTTCTGTCGTGCTGTCTAGAAGCTTTTTTTCCCTAAGCTTTTTCCAGCTTTAATAATGGAAGTTATTCTTTACACCTGCTGCCTACTTTGGGGGATTGGGGGCTGAATTCTCGGAATTCTCCTTAACTTAAAACTTCAAGATATGTTGTCACAGAATTGATGCAGAGTGACTTACATAAAATTATCGTCTCTCCTCAGCCACTCAGCTCAGATCATGTCAAAGTTTTTCTTTATCAGATTTTGCGAGGTAAGCTTTCCTTTGTGAAGAAAACTGTAGTGTCACTGTATAAAGTAAAATGTTTTGCTTTTCATTTGAACTTTAATCTGACCTTCCAAGGCTTTTTTCTTCCCTAACGATTTTTTTCTTTTGACCAAGGTATTTTAAAAATCTCTACACTTGACGTTAAATAAGAAGCTTTTAAGGGTGGCCAAATGGTTCGTATTTCCATGGATGGAAGAGAAAGGCCTAATTCATTACTCAGTTGAGTAGGTTAATGTAGGGAAGGTAAATAAGCAGGATGGTTTGTGGAACCCTGTGGTCTGTCACAAAGTTCACTCTAAACAGGAATATGCGGTGATTCCATTGAAAAATAACTGTTCCCTTCCCTGTGGATGACGTTTATTCTTCAAGTTTTGTCAGTGTTGGTTGATATACCTGAGTACAACTCTAAAAAAACCAAAATGACTCTTAAAAGCCAAAGGATCGAGGAGGCTGAGAAACAGCTAGCTAGGTGATTCTCCAGATTCTCATTAGAGAGCGCCAACTTGAGGGAGAGGCAGTGTGAGCCGACATTCCTGGAGCTGCCTCTGGCCATCAGGTTTGTCCTTTGGAATTTTGCTGTTACAAATGGAGAATTGTTTAAAGCTGAAACAGCTTTCTTACCTAGTAAAATATTCTCCCTCAGCTCCCACACCAGAATTCAGAGATTCAGGTATTCTTTATGGAGATTAAAAAGCATCTGCCAACAGAATGAAAACACACACAAAGTATTAAAACTAGGATGTTCACTCTCCATAGATTTGTTGCTATTCTATGGCAGAACGAAAATATTGGATATTGGATTTTTTTTTACCTTGTAAAATATACATATATATATATATATATATATACATATATATATATATGCTGTGTTTTATTCAGAAGACTCAGCCTTGAGGCTGTGACCTTTTTCTAAAAGCAGTGCTAAAGTCAGTCTTTTAAGATGTGAAAAAATAGTTGAAAGTAATTAACTATCCCTCTTGAATATCAGTGATGGGGAATACTACTGACAAACCTGGGCAGGTCACTGAATTTTGTCTGATCAGTGAAAATCTGCCCTGGGAAGGGCTCCCTGGTGGGTGATGAGGATTTGTGGGAGCTGGCTCAGAATCATAGGTTGAGCGTACCAATAGCCAAGCTCCAGTAGCCCCCAACACATAGGAGCAATCCAAGAATATTGGTATGGTCAACTTTAATTCCAGCGCCTGAAAAGCTTATCTGTAGGTTGTGTAAACCTTTGATAACACTTTATTTTACAAAATTACAGTTTTTTGAAGTAGGACTAGGTCAAGCTTTTAATAATGTTTATTATGTCATTATTTAAAGAACAACCTTAAATCCTGTATTCTCTGTTACTGTGGTTTTTCCCAGATCGTTGGTTGAGTGAAAAGAATTAAATATCTGTAATTAAATCCATTTGTTATTTCAGGTTTGAAATATCTCCATTCAGCTGGCATTTTACATCGAGACATTAAGCCAGGGAATCTCCTTGTGAACAGCAACTGTGTTCTAAAGGTAGCTTTTCAGTTTCTTTAAATATCTGAGAAAAATTCAGAATGTCAAGGTAGGTTTAAGAACAATGTGTCTTTGTGAAAGAGTTAAAGTTATTTTCATCACTTTACCAAAAATTAAAGAACTGAGTTTTCTCTAGCAATATCACTAGTCATGGCCATAGTAACTGATTTGTCATCTTGACTCATGATTTCTTCATGATAGTTTGCATATGTTTTGGAAGCACTGAAATTGGATTTACAGTGTGACCAGGAAGAAGATAGAGGAGGTAGTTTCTTTTTAGATTGCTAAAGAAAGTGTGTATCTAAAGAATTATTTCAAGACTAGTAAGTTGTTTATATGAGAATGAAGTATAGCTTTTATAAAGACTGTGTTTTGGGGGGCACCTGGTTGGCTCAATTGGTTAAGCGACTGCCTTCAGCTCAGGTCATGATCTGGAGTCCCAGGATCAAGTCCCACATCGGGCCCCCTGCTCATCAGGGAGTCCGCTTCTTCCGCTGACCTTTCTCCTCTCATGCTCTCTCTCTCTCATTCTCTCTTTCTTTCTCACATGAATAAATAAAATCTTAAGGAAAAAAAAAAAAAAAGACTGTGTTTTTGCACAGCTAACATTTCTATGCCCTGTGTGACAGGTAGCTAAGTAGGGAAGTGAAAACACTGAAAAGTGAAAATACTAGGGGCACTTGGGTGGCTCAGTTGGTTAGGCACCTGCCTTTAGCTCAAGTAATGCTCCAGAAGTCCTGGGATCAAGCCCCATGTCAGGCTTCCTGCTTAGCAGAGAATCTGCTTCTCCCTCTGCCCCTCACCCTGTTCATGCTCTCTCTTGCTTGCTCTCTCAAATAAATAAAATCTTTATTGAAAAAAAAAGTTAAAAATAATATGCCAGAAAAGGGTCAAATATATTTGACTATATAGTAGCCAATTCTGCTATTCCTTCTAAAGGGGAATTGATTACAGGATTTAATTACAGTAGTAGCCTCCAAATTTCAAGCCATCAATTTCAATTTTACTTTCCCCTAGTATCTCTACCTACCCTCCACCCGTTGTTTCTTGTTAGAGTGGCTCACAAATCGCAAAATCCACATTTTGCATTTCCCTGCCTCTAATAGATGTATTAGCAGAACTCCTAGTGAGAGGCCCACCATATTTTCTCCATCATAGAAATTAGAGATAAGGGCCTTCCTAGAGTTGTGTCCTCTCTGTGTAAGCAAATTTAAATTCTATTTTATGAGTGGCTACAATATTACATGGTGCTTCAGTCTACAGTAAATATTCTTCTTAACATTCCAACTGATAATATTTGAAGAAGAAAACTTTGTTTTTGTTTTTTGTTTTAATAAAAAAATAAAGTTTATTTATATTTAAGTTTAAATAAATAAAGATTTGTTTATTTGGAAGAAAGAAGGTGCACAATGGGGAGGGGCAGAGAGAGAGGGAGAGAGAGTTCCAAGCGGACTCCATGCTGAGCACAGAGCACAATGCAGGGCTTGATCTCACTGAGATCATGACCTAAACCGAATACAAGAGTCAGATGCTTTAACCTACTGTGCCACCCAGGCACCCCAAGAAAACTGGCTTTTAGATGTTGCCTGCTTTATAAGTTATCAAGATGTCATTGTTACTTAGCTTGATGGCAGTTAAACTAAATATTAAAAGCAAGTATATAAATGAATATCATTTTATATTTTAAAAGCTTTCTTTTAAACTCTGGGCCAATTTTCTTTAAAAGCTGGTATGTTGGGACACCTGGGTGGCTCAGTAGGTTAAGCCTCCAACCTGAGCATGCCTCCAGCTCAGGTCATGATCCTAGCGTCCTGGGATCGAGTCCCACATCGGGCTCCTTGCTCAGCGTGAGCCTGCTTCCCTCTCTGCCTCTGCTGCCACTGTGCCTGCTTACACACACATGCACACGCTTGCTCTCTCTCTCTCTCTGACAAGTAAATACATAAATAAAAATCTTTTTTAAAAAAACTGGTATGTTAATACTGTGGAAAAAAACTCCCTTCATTATAGGCTTGAAGAACTGTTTCTGATGTAACTCTAGAAAGATTATTTTTTAAAAACTATCTTTCAGGGGCACCTGGGTGGCTTACTCAGTTAAGCATCTGCCTTCAGCTCAGGTCAGGATCTCAGGGCCCTGGTACAGGCTTCCTACTCAGCAGGGAGTCTGCTTCTCCCTCTCCCCTGCCCCCACTCATGCTCTCTCTTCTTTCTCTCAAATAAAATCTTAAAAAAAAAAAAAAAAGCTATCTTTCATATTTTCCCTGGAAACAACTAGTATTGTAGTTTAGTCTCTTTCCACAGAGAAATGAATTGTTCCCAGTGTCCACTAAAGTAAACATTCCTTCTATAGGTCATTGAGTTTATTTCCCCGCTACCTTTCCACTTTTTAAAAAGAGTTGCGGGGCACCTGGGTGGCTTAGTGGGTTAAAGCCTCTGCCTTCTGCTCAGGTCATGATCCCAGAGTCCTGGGATCAAGCCCCGCATCGGGCTCTCTGCTCGGCAGGGAGCCTGCTTCCCTTCCTCTCTGTGCCTGCCTCTCTGCCTACCTGTGGTCTCTGTCTAATAAATAAATAAAATCTTAAAAAAATAAAGAGAGTTGCACCCTATCCCCATAACCCTAATTTAATTTTAAAAACAAATTTTTTTAAACCTTAGGAATTCTTTATTCTGTTCAGACCAAATCAATTTTATGACGGCTTAAGCCAGTTTCTTCTTATTTTGGTTTCCGGTTTGAGAACTTCACAAAGCATTGTGTTTAGAACCTGTTTTGTTTGGTGCCATTACCTGCTTGAGGTCCATTTTTCAGATAATCTCTTATAGTATTATAACTTCTAGCTACATGGACAAGTAACTAGAGGAATATGTCATTAAATGAATAAACAACACAAAGATCAGGATAAACTGAAATTGTGCCCCACTCCTTTGACTTGTCTTAGCAGCCTACTTTTAAGTCCCAAAATGGAGTTCCAAGCTCCAGACACTGATTATCTTCTCAAATGTACAAATTCATCAAAAATAACTATGATAAAGCATTTCTTTTAAATTAGTATCCTTTCATATTCTGAATATATTTTGTTTCCTATTAAGCACAAAATGGATAATTTTGTTGGAAATCTCATTATCTTTTTGGTTATCTGATCATATAAGCTTCTTACTTTGGGTTTAGCTTGTCTTCCAGATAAATTGCCAAAAATGACTCCAGACAGACTGGTCTTTTTAACAAAGGACTTGCTTTATAACAGAAAACATTTCCTGTCCGGTGGGTGGTTGCTTGTTTTTTCTTGTTTTGTTTTTTGTTTTTTTACTATAAATACAATAAAGATAGAGGAAAATGGATTTAAGTTCTTTGGTTTTATTTTGTTTTAAAAGATATCCTAAAACATCATGGCCAAGGAAGAGAGTTTTTTAAATATGTGTTATTTGAACACTAGCCTTTGGGAGAATTTGATAAGCAACTTAGAGTTTTGGGGTTGGTTTGTTTTGTTTTGTTTTTCCTTTTTGGTATGGTTCTCAAACATTTTTAAAGCTGCCAGACCCTTTTTTTTTTTTTCCAAATAAAATCTTATGCTGCAACCTCAACTTAGAAAACAGTGTTAGTTCATCACTTATAATATTGACTCATGAAGTTGATCAGTGAGGATGCTGGAGTTTGGAAAGCCGTTACTCTCTTATCTTAACCTCAGTGCTCCCACATTTTTTTTTGGTGGCCCAGTATTAAGAAAATCTAATTTTCTTAATATGAGAAATTCCTGAAAATAAGCAGAAGTTGCTGGTGGTGCTGCTGCTGCTGTCTGCCAACAGCTCACCTTGCAACCTCAGCATCCTTTTCAATGAAACAGAAATAACAAGAAAAGATTTATTCCCAGGTCTGCATATAAATTAACCAATCGTTCTCATTTACTATTGTGTTACCGGGCTCTAGCATACTACCCAAACCATAAGAGGTATTCAGTTAAATATTTACAGCACAAAGAAATGAGTGAAACTAGTAACATTGGTATTCTACAGTGTAGTACATTTTGACATATGTATTTGAGTGTGAATAGTATTTTAAATAGATAGGTACATGGGAAGTTGAGGACTCAGTTTGAAACCCATAGGTATAAAGAAATTTTACTATGTGTATTCCATAAAGATGGTAAACATAGCTCAGGAGGTCTTTAAGATAGGCCCCCCCCTTTTTTTCCCTATAATTCCTTGATAAGCCTTGAAAATACATAGTTTGGTTTCTACATTAAACCTGGAAATATGCATTGAGCTGTCTTTTTGCTTTGCTTATCAGTTAAAAAGATGAGCGAGAAGAATTTTTTTTTTTTTAAGATTTTATTTATTTGACACAGGGAGAGCACAAGCAGGGGGAGTGGCAGGCAGAGGGAGAGAGAGAAGCAGGCTCCCTTGCAGAGCAGGGAGCCCAATGCAGGATTCTATCCAGGACCCCAGGATCATGACCTGAGCCAAAGGCAATCGCTGAACCAATTGAGCCACCCAAGCACCTAAGAAGAATATTTTTAAGATACATCATTTTATGTAGAAATAAGGAAGTTTGAGACTTTTTTCCTCTTTTACAAATAAGAGCAAATCATATATTGACACAAATATACAATACCTGTGTGATTGAAAACTTTTCAATGTTCAGAGATATATCAAGATTCCAATTTTTTGCTTATTGTGTTTTACTTTATATATCTGTAAATATATTTGTCTCTTACAATATTTTTATAATCTTTTCTATTTAGATTTGTGATTTTGGATTGGCCAGAGTGGAGGAATTAGATGAATCCCGTCATATGACTCAGGAAGTTGTTACTCAGTATTATCGGGCTCCGGAAATCCTGATGGGCAGTCGTCATTACAGCAATGCTATTGACATCTGGTCTGTCGGATGTATCTTTGCAGAACTACTAGGACGAAGAATACTGTTTCAGGCACAAAGTCCCATTCAGCAGGTATGATTTTACTTTAGGCTTTAGTAGCTTTCAATTCTGTTACAGATTTAAAGGAAAAACTGCCTTGCACACGTGTCTTGGGCTTATTCGTTGTACTGTCTAAATTGCTTTCGGCAAATTGAGGTTCACTTAAAATTCAGAAAGTTAGGAAGTTGAAGATGACAGAGAGATTCATTCTGTAACTTACGAACCTATTAGAGGGAGTGTTGACTTTATCACATGCATGGATGCATAGCAGCTGACTCCTGTAACAATTTGCACAGGTGTAATCTTCCGTAGTTAGAGGGCCTCTGTTCTTTCTGACTGAATGGGTCAGACCTGAAAATGTATTTGATGGCTTCATGTACTTACACTTTGTGCTTAGAATATAAATTGTGAGGGTTGATTTCCTTAAATCTGAACATTTAAGAACATTTCTAACCTTTATTTTGGAGCTGACATATTTATTTAAATATGGCAGAGAACATTAGAAGCTTATTAAAACGTAGCTTTAGGAAACCATTTGTGATACTTTATCTGCCCTAAGAGTGAATTCGTTACCCTCCATGTTTTCTTGGGATAATTCCTAAGTACTTTTTTATCCATAAATCTTAACAATAGTGTTTGCATGAGAATAATGTAACAATGATGTGCTTAGTCTTCAGAATCAAATTGGTGGGTTCAAATCCTAGCTCTGACACTTACTGTCTATTAATTCTTAGGCAGATTAAACCATTCTGAGGATTGTTGTGCAGATTAAAAGTAATAGGCTGAAAATGAGGCCTGGCACATAGTGAGCTCTCAACAAGTGTTAGCGGCTGTGAAAGTGATTCCAGGATGCTCGGGATGCAACGGTAAATAAGACAAAGTTAGTTCTCGCCTTTGTGCGACTTTCACATGAGACAGAAAATAAATAAGTACACAAATAAATATAAAGCTAAGTAATGATAAATTCTGTGAAGAAAAATTAAACCAGGTTAGGGATAGGAAATGATGCTAGGGCAAAGCAGTGCTAAAGGATTCTCTGAAAGGATGACATTTGAAGAGTGGCTCAAGTGAAATGAGGGAGCGAGATACTGGGTAAGTTCCAGGAAAAGGACAACCAACATAATTCAGCTCCTGAGGCAGGAACAAATGTAGCCTGTTGGAGGGATGGCATGATCCAGGGAGAAATCGTAGGAGACCAGGTCAGAGAGAGAGAGAGAGCGAGCCTGACCATGGTGACTGGATAAGGACTTTGGATTTTATTCTGTCCAAAGTGTAAGGGAAAGCTGTATGAAGGTTTTTGTTTTTGTTTTTTAAAAGATTTTATTTATTTATTTGACACACAGAGAGAGAGAGATCACAAGTAGGCGGAGAGGCAGGCAGAGAGAGAGGAGGAAGCAAGCTCCCTGCTGAGCAGAGAGCCCGACGCGGGCCTCGATCCCAGGACCCTGAGACCATGACCTGAACTGAAGGCAGAGGCTTAACCCACTGAGCCACCCAGGCGCCCCTGTATGAAGGTTTTGAGCAAGGGAGTGTTATGACTTGATTGATCACATTTTTTAAAAATCACCCTGACTACTGTGTATCTTTGTAAATAATACCTGCACTTGACCCAAAATGGAGTAATTTCTTTTATGCTCTTCTAGAAAAGAATTAACCGATACATTAGAAACTGTATCTGCTATGATCAGCATTTGAAATTATTTCTCTGCTATACATTCAGTCTATTTTTATCAAGTTTACATCTTAAAAATTGATCCTGGTGATAAAAAATTATCATATATAGTAATAATGTTGGGTACTATTGACAGTACCCACTTTACTATTTAGTTTTTTTAGAAAGTAGATTTTAATGGACTACCTGTAAGACCCATCATGTCTGGACATGAGACATGTCTACCATACAGAAAAGCTTAAATAGGGGCAACTGGTTGGCTCAGTGGTTTGAGCATCTGCCTTCAGCTCGGGTCATGATCTCAGGGTCCTGGGATTGAGCCCCGCATCGGGCTTTCTGCTCGAAGGGGAGCCTGCTTCCCCCTCTCTCTCTCTGCCTGCCTCTCTGCCTACTTGTGATCTCTGTCTGTCAAATAAATACAATCTTTAAAGAGAAAAAAAGAAAAAGAAAAGCTTAAATAAAAGTTAAGGGGTTGTTCGGGACACCTGGGTGGCTCAGTCAGTTGAGCATCTGACTTGACTTCAGCTTATGATCTCGGGGTTGTGGGATCAGCCCCACATTGTGCTTAAGATTCTCCGTCTCCCTCCCAACCTGTGTGTGTATGTATGCACACACGTGCGCATGCACGCAAATGTATGTTCTCTCTCAAATTTTTTTTTTAAGATTTATTTATTTATTTGACAGAGAGACAGCAAGAGAGGGAACACAAGCTGGGGGAGTGGGAGAGGGAGAAGCAGGCTTCCTCTGAGCAGGGAGCCCGATGTGGGACTCAATCCCAGGATCCTGGGATCATGACCTGAGCCGAAGGCAGAGGCTTTAACCCACTGAGCCACCCAGGCACCCTAAACTTCATAGTTTTGATAATTGCAAAAAATAGGGCTTTATATCTGGCAATCCCAGTACAAGGGAAAGAAGTATTCTGTAGGTAAGAATTTCCCATCCTGGAGGAATCTGAATGGCATGTTATTGCTAATTAGGTTATGAAGTTAGAACAGTTTTCACACCACAGAAAATTGTGAAGGTGGTTTCCTATCTACCAAGACTTGAGAAGACCATTTTCTGTCATGCTCAGCTGACTAAGGTGGTCTTATGCAGTGTTACAGTTTTTTCTAAGAACGACCATTTTCTGCCAGTGTAAGAGATTTCTAGAATAACTAGAATGTAAATGATGTGTACAGGCCCAAACATCAATAGCTTAGCTTTCATTTCAGATGTAAAAGTTCTGAGTATTTACTGAGTCACAGCTGCCTGATTTATGGATTAACTCCTTGATGAGCCTAAATCCATTCGAAGCATAAGAATCCATTCATTAACTGTTTGAAAAGAAGAGTCATTAGCCATGTGCAAAAGAGCAGTTCACCCCGCAAGGATCATAGATACTGTCTTATCAAGACCCAGGGCAGGTACATGCAGATTCCTATTACTATAGCCTTAGAGTGCCCTGCTTGTCAAAACGTATTTTATTTCTGTCCTATGGGTTCCTAATAACATTTTTCTGGCTTTTTTAATAGTCCAGAAAGTGAAAGTAGGGGCTCCTATCAGTTAATCTGGAACTTACCTTAAAGGCTTGTTTTCCCCCCACATTTGGTCCTCGTCTCTAAGGGCAGTGATTTAAGAGTAATGGAAAGTTGTTTCCATGAGCTCTTACTATCTGTCTGTATTTCGTGTTTCCTTGCAGCTGGATTTGATCACGGATCTTTTGGGCACACCATCGCTGGAAGCAATGAGGACAGCTTGTGAAGGCGCTAAGGCGCACATACTCAGGGGCCCTCATAAACAGGTAAATGAGAGGGCGGGGCCTATAGTTGGTAACCACCTGGGCAGGACTTCTCTTCCAACAGAATAATGATTTGAGACTTTTTAAACAAAAACATGACTTATAGGTTTTATTTAGTTTTTTAGGTCACAGTCATAAATAAGAAATTGCTAAATATTTGTCAAACCAAATAAAATATCATCATTCCCAATGCTGTGGGAGAGAGTAAATACTTCTGTAGCACTATTGCTAAGAAATGACTCCTGGCATTTTGTCTCCTGGTCTTTGATGTGTCTGGGAAAAGTTACTGGGGTGGAGCTTTCACTTCAGTGCCATGTATATCAAGATGTCTTTTCTGAATACTGAGCCAAAATACCTGGTTTCTCTTATTCCAGCCAGGAGTATGAGGCTGATTCTATTGCACTCTTACCACTCACACAGAACCATGTTTGAATGCTTGTAGAAAGGAAGTATGAAGAAGAGATTGCCAGATTTGCACTGATCAATATTGCTTGTAACCAGATAAGTCACTGCTGAGAAAGACAAAAAGATGGCTTTTATCTCCACATAAGCAGCATTTTTAAGGAGAACTTTTCCTAATCTACTTTGGACAGAACAGTTTACTGATGTGAAGAGTGAGCAAGGGAAATAGTTTTCCTAGGAACAGCAAACTGAAACAGAAAGAAGGCTTGAACAGAAAGACTCAGCAACTAATTTTCGTGGGCTCTGCCTTGGTTTCTTTTAAATTAGTCATTTATAGGGGCGCCTGGGTGGCTCAGTGGGTTAAAGCCTCTGCCTTTGGCTTGGGTCATGATCTCAGGGTCCTGGGATCGAGCCCTACATCGGGCTCTCTGCTCAGCAGAGAGCCTGCTTCCTCCTCTCTCTCTGCCTGCCTCTCTGCCTACTTGTGATCTCTGTCAAATAAATAAAATATTTAAAAATAAATAAATAAAAATAAATTAGTCATTTTTGTGCTCTGATTGATCATTACATCTGATTGATCTGAGTAGCCAAGTTTGCTACTCCTCTCAAATTACCAGCCAGACATTTTGGCAGGGTCTTGTGCCTTGCCCCTGCAGTTTCTCTCTCTAATTCCAGTGTGACTCCAAAGCTCCCATTTTCACATCATAGGGAGGGGGCAATGGGTTAAGTGTGTTCTCTTCTAAAACCAGTCTGAACTAGAAAAACAGAGATGTGGATGGTGGTATTTTATTTTATTTATTTATTTTTTTTTAAGATTTTATTTATTTGTCAGAGAGAGAGAGTACACACAAGCAGGCAGAGAAGCAGGCAGAGAGAGAGGAGGAAGCAGGCTCCCTGCCGAGCAAGGAGCCCGATGCGGGACTCGATCCCAGGACCCCAGGATCATGACCTGAGCCGAAGGCAGTGGCTTAACCCACTGAGCCACCCAGGCGTCCCAGGATGGTGGTATTTTAAATAACCCCCTGTTGGTTATATCTTTCTGTTGTATTTAGTTTATAAACTGTGAAATAATTTGAGCCCTAACTCTCTTAGAAGAGCACACAGTAAGTCTTAACCTAGAGGAAGGTTCTGTATTAATGGAAGGAATTCAAAAGATCTATTATGTTCTATTTATTGGCCATTATCAGGAATATTAAAGTAATTTATCAATACTTCATGGTAAATGTGTCCTTGGAACTAGCAAAATAATTTTCCTCTTTTCCTGACCTTAGGTCAGTAAATCTTTCCTGGCTAAATGTAACCAGTAATGAAATGTGATTAAGATCTCATACCCTGGTGCCACCCTTCCATCTCTAGAGGAATTTTAACTATTGCTAATGGTTGCCAGCTAATTAATCCTTTGTGTCAGAGCTGCTGAAGTGCAGCTGAGAGAGCAAGGCTTCCTAAGGAGTTTCCTCCCTGCCTTCTAGAACAGATCAAAATGGTAACATACTGCACCGAAGATATCTGTGCTCTCCTTTGAGCATTCCTGGCAAGTGAGTCCTTTTCCTTCTAGAAATTTTTAGAAAATCTGTTAGTTGTAAAAACCTTAAATTTTCAATTAATAAAAAATAGTTAAGTATCATATTACTGTCTAAAACAAAGGAGGGAAGAAAGTAAAATTTAAAGACCTATGTTTATTTAACTAGTTAAGTAGGTTAAGATGTTAAGCAGAGGGGCACCTGGGTGGCTCAGTGGGTTAAATTAAGCCTCTGCCTTTGGCTCAGGTCATGATCTCAGGGTCCTGGGATCGAGCCCCGCATCGGGCTCTCTGCTCAGCTGGGAGCCTGCTTCCCTCTCTCTCTCTGCCTGCCTCTCTGCCTACTTGTGATCTCTGTCTGTCAAATAAATAAATAAAAATCTTTAAAAAAAAAAAAAAGATGTTAAGCAGAATTTTTTCCTACACATTTTTACATGAACCGGCCTCTTAACAAGAATGCCTCTTAGAATTTATTTTGTTTATCATTAAGTTTTGTGATGGTCTTAAGAGAACACCATAGCTACCACTAAATTTAAATCAGCTACTGGAATATTTTGGTTTTGAAGAGAAGACTGGTAGGGTGGAAAGAAATTAGGTGACCATTTTTCCTCAAAGGCTAGATACACTTTGCACAAAACTTTAAAGTCTTTTTTTTTTTTTTTTAAGATTTTATTTATTAATTAGAGAGAGAGAGCACAAGCAGGGAGGAAGGGCAGAAGGAGAAGCTGACTGAACAGGGATCCAGATACGGGGCTTGATCCCAGGATCATGACCTGAGCCAAACACAGACGCTTTTTTTTTTTTTTTTTTTTTTTTTTTAATTTGACAGAGAGAGATCACAAGTAGGCAGAGAGAGAGGAAGGGAAGCAGGCTCCCCGCCTAGCAGAGAGCCCAATGTGGGGCTCGATCCCAGGACCCTGGGATCATGACCTGAGCCGAAGGCAGAGGTTTTAACCCACTGAGCCACCCAGGCGCCCCCAAAGGCAGATGCTTAACCAACTGAGCCACACAAGTACCCCAGAACTTTTAAGTCTTATCTTTAGATGTTTTTAACCAGGGCTAGAAATGGTCTCCTGAGTCAACTATTCATGGTCTTTAGCAGTAACCCAGGTAGACTGGTATAGAGTAAGTTATGCCTACCATATGTAATTAAATGTAAATGAACTTAGCATTCTACTTAGTTCCAGTTTTTCCCCAGTATAGAACTTCAGGTTTTCATCTACATTTGCTAGTTGATCTGTATACCACTAGTGCTCTCAAGAAAGGTTAGCAGACCCTTGAAGCTCTTTACTTAGACCGTCATTCAGACTCTACTTTTCCCCTTTCCACTCTCTATTCCATCCCTTACCCCATGATGCATATCTTTTATGCCTCTTGTTGGCCTGTTAGCAGCTGTTTGAAGGTATCTCAATTCATGTTAAACCTGTTTAGAGCTGAGATCGGAAGACACATACATACCCATGCCCAAGCATATTGGTATGTAGCCACTTGGATTTTTTTTTTTTTTTTAACTTTAAAAGATGAATTTGGTCCCAAATCCAGTATGGACACTATAGCTTGTATAGTTCTGTACATGATGACTATTCTGCAAAGAGCATAGTTCTTAGCTCAGCGCCCCACACCAGATATATGCTCGTTTATTTCTTTGGTCTGTAGTGATGAAGAGCGCAGGCTGCGGTGGCAGTGTCAGGCTTAGCGCAGTGTACAGCACGTTGACGGTGTTCCGGGAGTTGTATGCTACAGTTTTCAGACAGACTGAATGTGAATCCTGCCTCAACCGGTAACTCGTTTTGTGATCCTGGGTAAATTATTTAACCTCTGTGTGCCTCAGTTCATTCTTCTATAAAATGGGAATAAAAATGGTTCCTACCTCATTAAATTGTTATGATGATAAAGAGATAGTGCATGCCAGGAAGCATAGAATAGTGTCTGGCGGGACGCCTGGGTGGCTCAGTTGGTTATGCAGCTGCCTTCGGCTCAGGTCATGATCCCAGCGTCCTGGGATCGAGTCCGACATCGGGCTCCTTGCTTGGCGGGGAGCCTGCTTCTCCCTCAGCCTCTGCCTGCCACTCTGTCTGCCTGTGCTCGCTCTCTCTCCCTCTCTCTCTGACAGATAAATAAATAAAATCTTAAAAAAAAAAATAGTGTCTGGCATTCTAAACATCTAGTAAATATTAATAAATATTACCGGTTAAAGTTACCACCCTAACATGGTGTAGCTATAGCTTGTGATTTTTTTTTTTTAAATATATACAACATTATGATCAAATGGAGTTTGTTCCAGGGATCCAAAGACAATTCACCTACAGAAAATCTGTTAATGTATTTTGACATTTTAAATGAGAAAAATCATGATTATCTCAATTGATGCAGAAAAGGCATTAGATAAGGTTCAGTCCTTTTTATGTGCTACCATGATGAAAGTTCTTTACAAAAACCTATAGATAAATTTATAGATAAGTATATGAACAAGGCAGAATGAGCTGTATTAACACATTACTAATTAAATGAGATAAAAATGCATGCACAGAGAAAAAGCCTCTAACTTTTAGAAAGGACTCAATTCTTTTTTTATTTAATATTTTATTTCTTTATTTGCCAGACAGAGATCACAAGTAGGCAGAGAGGCAGGGGGGCGGGGCGGTGGGGGAAGCAGACTCCCTGCTGAGCAGAGAGCCCAATGTGGGGCTCGATCCCAGGACCCTGAGATCATGACCAAAGCTGAAGGCAGAGGCTTTAACCCACTGAGCCACCCAGGCGCCCAGGACTCAGAATTCTTAATGAAGCTGCTTAGGCTATTAGAGGTCTTCCCAGGGCAAGATATACCTTACTGTACTTATACTAAATTACTGGATATAGGAGTTAGATAAACTATATATAAACTCATGAGGAATACTTCTAAAATTTCAGTACAAGTTTTTGAGTTTGGACTATAAAAAGAAAAACTTTTTTCAAGTAGTTCCCACTTAAGTAGCTACTCAAAGTTAGATGGAAATAGCCATTCTTTACTATTAATAATTATTTCTAACAATATTTAGAAGTATGCTATATACTAGTCACTGTCCCAACCACATCTTATACA